AATTTAATGTGCACTATTTCTGGCAGTCTGCAAAGGCCCTTTGTTCAGTTAAAAATTCTTTTGTCATCCAACTCGGTTTCTTGAGACAGCTCCCATTTTTCCTCCTCAGTGGAACAGTTTGAGATTGTGCCTTCAGTATCTCCCTTTTGAGAAACTCCCATCCATCCTGAACTACCTTCTCCTTTAGTATTCCTGACCATGGGATCACTCCCAGTGTTTGCCTAAGGGGGGTTGCAGACTGCTAGAAATAGTGCAAATTGAGTCCACTTTTAGGGTTAGGGTTAGGGTTAGGGAATCATGGGAACTGTATTTTATTGTGGCACCAGAGCTCTCTAACAGAGAAGGCTCAATGTCTCAGAAAAAAACAATTCCCATGATTCCCTAGCACTAACCCTAACCCTAAAAGTGGACTCAATTTGCACTATTTCTGGTAGTCTGCAATCCCCCTAAGTTTATTGAAATCAGCTCTCCTGAAGTCTAGAATGAGCGTCTGACTATGCCTAGCTTTTCCTTTAGTCATCTGCCTACTGTTAACAGTCCTCACAAGATACTGTGATTCAGAACCTTAATTATTTTCAAACTATCCTGCTGAAATTCCCTCCTCTATTAAAGATACAGAAGCCCTCTCAAATTTTTGCTCAGCAACTGTATAAATTTGCCCAGTCAATGGCCTGTGGCTACTGTAGTAGAGCTCCAACATCTAAACCGGACAACATGGGGGAATACCTTGGCTGATGCTATGAAAGCAGCTGAGAAGTTCAAGAAAAACAAAAGTGTTGCACTCTGTTTTGTCATTTCTCATCAGAAGGCATCCTACAGAAACCTGGGCATAATCCACCTGGTTCCAAAACCTGACCTGAAGTAGTTTATAATAATCAAGGGAATATTTGGATGGTAGGATTATGAAATTGTGCTACCAGTACCTCATATCCTGATAGGAATGAGAGCTGTCTTGAAGATGATTAATGGAATATGGATTTTGAATAATCTTTCAGTGACTTCACAGAGACTTAAAACACATTTTCCTTGGAAGAGTACCACCGAGGCAGGTGTAATCATGTTGACTGGGGGCCTGATGAGCAAGCAGATGACAGTGTTGTTGCAAAAGAAAAATGTTCTGCTTGTTAAAAGAACAAAAAAGAAGAAGAAGACAGTTAATAAATGCACATTAAGCAGCAGGTTCTGTTCCAACAGCTCTCAGCATTCATCCAGGTACATTTTTAAAAACCAATCTCTGATCCTTATTGAAAAAAAATGTACAAGTGCTACTTTGAAGGGAGGATTATATAACAAGATTCAACTTGTTTGTTAATTACATTTTTCCTAGGTAACTGCAGAAATCTATTGGTAGAGAACTATTAGAAAAGTAATAAGACCACAGATTATTAAGAACAGATTAAATTTGGATTTCAAACCTCTCTGATGCTAATTCCCTTCCCCATTCATACTGAACCTTGTTGATTTGCAAAAAGCAGTTATAAAAATGCACTATTCTCTTCCTATAGCTAGTGTACAAGAACAGTATTTTTGGTTCCTGATCCTTTATGATAAAATGATGGATAAAAAATGTAAAGAATGATATGAATCATAAAAATGGCATGAAGTGCAATACTATCGCCTCAACTTTGATCTATGGCCCTGCACTAAATAAAACTGACTTGTGCCTGTTTTTTGAGCCATTGTTATGGTTTAATTAAGAGATTTCAGAGAAAAGGAAACTTTGGACTACAATATGGTACCCTACTGAAAGATTAATAGCAATCTATTCACTGAAGATTAATATGATCTGGAGGTAAAGTTCCAGCATAGAACTAAAATGAAGTGATTTTCAACCATAATTGTTCCATGTGCCTTCTAGCATGCTAACAATGTAGGCTTATCACCTGTCTTGCTAGCAAGCAAAAGTGTGGGTAAGCTTAGTGTATGAAGTCCAGTACTCTATGGCTTGGTTTTTACTAAGGCGGTATAGTTATATCTTAGGGATGAGGATCATGAAGCCCTTCACATGCTGTTGAATTGCAGCTCCCAGAATTCCTCAGCTGAGCATCCTTGTTACCAAATTCAGAGACTGTTTCTCTGGACTGGACTAGTTGTAGCTTTAGTTGTAAGATTCAAAGGTACTTTCTGCAACCTAGCTCTCTGCTACAAATCATATATGTTCTGTTGTGGTTTCTGTCTGAGGAACTCATCCTCTGAATAAGGCACAGCCTTATTCCTAACTAGAAGTAGCAAATCAAAGTACTTCCATAATGGTTTATTCTTTTTTTTTTGGGGGGGGGGGCTAGAAAGGCTGTAACCAAATTACATGTACAACTCAGGTCCAGGTTCTTTGAAGGTGGTGCAGTGGTTTGAGTGTTGGACTATCACTTTGGAGATCAGGGTTCAATTCCCATCTCAGCCATGGGAGCCCTGTGGATGACCTTGGGTAAGTCACACACTCTCAGCCCAAGAAAACCCCATGATACGTTCACCTTAAAATGGAAATGGATGGAAGGTACGCAACAGCAAAAATATTCTCCCTTACAATCCTACGCATGCTTTGAGATCTGCTGGGGAGACCCTTTCTTCTGTCTCACCACCCTCAAAGGTACATGTGGTGGAAGCACAGGAGAGGGCCTTATCAGTGGCCTTATCTCTAGGCTCTGGAACCTCCTTCTCAAAAGAGGTTAGACTACCACCCTCCCTACTCTCTTTCTGTAAACAGGTGAAGACTTCTCTGTTTGTCCAGAGTGTTGAGGACTGATTGTTTAGGTAGGATGGGCCTTGCTCAATTTTGTTGGATTATCTATTTGTTATTCTATTCTGCTGGGTTTTTTTTAAATGGTTCATGTCTTTTACTTTTTTTAATTTTTTTTGATAGCATAATCACTCCTCCTCCTCCCCCCCCCCACCCCGAGAGCCAATTTGGCATAGTGGTTTGAGCTTTGGACTATGACTCTGGAGACCAGGGATCACTTCCTAACTTGGCCATAAAACCCATTGGGTGACCTTGGGCAAGTCACATGCTCTCAGCCTCAGGGGAAGGCAATGGCAGTCTCCTCTGAACAAATCTTGCCAAGAAAACCCCACCGGTGTTCTCTAGACTGGAGATATCTTGAAGGCACACAACATACACACACACATTATCACTTTTAAGTTTTTGTATTTTATGAATTTTTAATGATGTGTTTTTAAGTTGTAAGCTGCTTTGAGTCCCAAACTGGGGAAAAGGTGGGGTAGAACTACTACTACTACTACTACTACTTGTTGTTGTGTGTCTTCAATCATTTCCAGCTTATGGCGACACTAGGGTATCAGTATCATGCAGTTTTTTGGGGGCAAGATTTCATGTCTGATATATTAAAAATATAGTTTAGTTAGAAAATAGTTACAAATTGAGTTTAATTTTTATTTTTATTTTATTTTTAAAATGGAGCACCAAACCATTTGAGAGGAAATGAAACTATGGAGCCTTAATTGGTTACAAATTGAGTTTAATTTTTATTTTATTTTTAAAATGGAGCACCAAGATCGTTGGTAATTAGGAAAACTTTTGGTTTTGCCAGTTTATGAGGAACAAGCAACAAAACAAAGCAAAACAACCCCACCATAAAAACATAAGAAACCATCAATATTAATAAATCAAAGAAAATTAATTTGTCTCCTTAAAGCCTCTATTATATCAAACATAAAGCATTCATTGTCATAAAAAGAACCAAGAAAGGAAAGCCAAAGATTAGGAAGTGCAATGATATTAGATACTGCACATAGTCTTACCTAAAGATTTACCTGCTATATAGCTTTTATAAATTATGTG